AGCAGTAAGAGGCTATGATATCGTTCCAGAAAGTTATGATGTAATAAGGAAAGTATAACTGGAAAATATGGGGATCCATCTACTATAATCAAATCGTTTTACAATGAACTCCACTGTATCAAGAAAATTAATAGACGTTGAATATTAAAATCGATATCCACGTTGGATATTAGAAAAAATCTATCAGCAATATGAAGAAGACCCAAGCTGGTTGGTTGTGAAATTAAGGGGACTCCTCGAAAAATTGATTTAGAAGGAATCAAACTCTAAACGAAAACAAATGGATTCCCCTTATGAAATTTCAGTTTTAGCTGCCATTAACCAGCCAAAAGTAAATCGCCGAAACGGATAAACTTACAAATCGGCTAAGAAAACCGAGAATAAGAAAAGACCTTGCATTTTCTGCGATGATGATCATTGGGATAGTGAATACTATTTCTATCCAACACTCAAAGGATGAGTACAACGTTAAAAAAAGCATCCAAGAGTAAAAAAGACAACAAAAGAGATTCTGGGAAAATTAATCAAGAAGGACAGATATCAGCTGATAGTAGGCATATTACAATATGAGAATAGCTCTCTAAAAAGGCTTTACAAAACTAACAGTATTTGCACAGCTGCAAGAGAAATTTACATATTAGTTTTTTATATGAAGACAAAATTGCATAGAAATTGTTTTACCATATGCTCAGCTTTCTCACGCTCTATCTAAAGTTTCTTGGTCATTGTTGTGTGAAGAAATGGTTAGTCTGATTTCTTCGGGAACTATTGTGTGATTCAAGTTCTTAATACAAAATAGACAAGTTGAGGAGGAAATGAATTTAAATTTCATCGTAAGAATAATCAGTACAATTAATATTGTAAAAACACGTGTAGAAATAGTAATTATCTGCCAATGTCCTGCAAATTCGATTAATTCTTCTTGTGTTAGTTGCGTTGTCTTTCCAAATCCATACTCCATTGTTCGGCTAATATCTATCCTTCTTGATTAATTTCATCTCAAATTCCCTTTTGTTGTCTGTTTGATTCTTGGATGCTGTCATTCTGTCGTTGTGAAAGTATTTCCAATTCTGCATTTTTCTTTCAATTTCGAATTTACTTAATATCCCACCCTTAAATTCGACAATTTTCGTATCAAACTCTTTATCCTTGCAGGGGCGATCAATAGTTGTCCATTAACATGCTTTGCTGTCACCTATTGGGTTGTACTTCTTTAGTTATATTAAGACGCAGCTGATTCTTGATCATTTCAACATAAGTCGTTGTTCATTTTGTTGGAGTCTTCTAATCAACGTTTTCAAACGTCCAAAGCACAATCCAAAATTATCGCTTAATTTGACATCCAGTTCTCTGCATGATCAACGAACCTGCTGTCTTTCTTTGTGTTTCGTGATACCTTTCTTAAATTGTTCCAGTGCTTTCTCGTCATCATGAACATCTGGTAATTCGTTAATTCCAGTGAATTCTCATCTCCAGGACTGATCTATATCTGCTTTACGAGTTACATTGGTTACACATATGGCTGTGGACTGTTCAATATTAGTTAATTTGCTTATATCTTCATTTTCAACTAACATAGGTAGATTTTCGATTGAAACAATGAGATGTGGGAAAAACAATTTGAAAATAAAAGAGTTTGATTTGTCGAGTTTGTTCTTAGGCACAGACGAATAGACGAGAAGGTATACTTCGTTCGGTTCAGGAGGAAGTTATTTATTCGCAGAAGATAGAAAATTGTGATAACACAGAGGATAGTAGTAAAATATTTATCGAAGAGAGTAGAGGGTACAGTGTACGGTGTAGTCCTTGGTTGAGTGTTTGAAAAGGAGAAAAAATGAATGATCACATCCAGTTATAGCCTTGAGTATATATACAATTTTAATTAACACAATGAGCATATTTGGAGGTATGTGGTCTATAACAAACATTATATTAGATTTTCCTTTGGATAAAGAAAAACTGTCAAAACCCGATTACAACAAAAGATCTGTTTTCAACATTAAGCATTGCAATTAAGATCGGCTCGTAGACAAAGAAATTTAGATTATGAGTGTGGTGTTTCAGAAAAAAGGGGAAAGGATGTGAACAAAGAAAAACGCATGAGGCAATGAATTTGAGGAATGTAAAAGTGGTTGAATGATTCATGACATTGTTACAATTTGTGTGATTGATTTGTACATTGGTTTATTTAATCATTTTATTTCATTTAGAGCTTCACGATATTCGAAGTTCGCGGCATGAGAAGCTTGAACTCAATTGTTGAATTCCTTCTAATCGATTAAATCTAATCGAAGTAATCAGCTCCATTAAGTATGTCAGGTTGCGTTCGATATTCGTTTAAATCGTGGAAACCATTATTCTCATTCGTAGTTGGTAGTTCTGGTAGTTCGACCATTTGTAACTCGTTCGTAAGATCGCCTACTACTTTGGTTTCGATTATTATAGCTTCTTCTCTCTCAATACTCCAATTCGTACTTTGATTGAAAAACGTGAAATGAATATTTTATTCCCAAATGAAGTTATTTTGAGTTCCTATTTTAGCTTTAGTTATTTTCAGCCAGTTTGCCAGTTCTTCCGATATGAATGGTTATTGTGAACCAATGTCAAAAAAACTAGGGTTTCTCTTTGGAGAACAGGTATTTCTTGGTTAAAGACCTTTGTGTTTTTGTTTTAAATTAAAAATTGAGTCATTATTGAGTTTGTTGGCGGACCGTTATTGCTTGCTTCATTTAAAATTTTCAATTATGAGGTGTAGTGCATTTTCCTACTATCGGCAGGCTTTCTTGATGTAGTGTTTTTGCATCCTTACAAAAGACTGTATTATGTGACCTTCTACAATAAAAGCATCGTAACCTTTTTTTTACAATCCAGTATATTATGCTCCTCTTTCATGCAACGTCGATAAAGATTTTTTTAAGCGTTGTACTCATCCTTTGAGTGTTGGATAGAAATAGTATTCACTATCCCAATGATCATCATTGCAGAAAATGCAAGGTCTTTTCTTATTCTCGGTTTTCTTAGCCGATTTGTAAGTTTATCCGTTTCGGCGATTTACTTTTGGCTGGTTAATGGCAGCTAAAACTGAAATTTCATAAGGGGAATCCATTTGTTTTCGTTTAGAGTTTGATTCCTTTTAAATCAATTTTTCGAGGAGTCCCCTTAATTTCACAACCAACCAACTTGGCCTTCCTCATATTGCCGATAGATCTTTTCTAATATCCAACGTGGATATCGATTTTTAATATCCAACGTCTATTAATTTTCTTGATACAGTGGAGTTCATTGTAAAACGATTTGATTATAGTAGATGGATCCCCATATTTTTCCAGTTATACTTTCCTTATTACATCATAACTTTCTGGAACGATATCATAGCCTCTTACTCCTTGCAATACATTTC